CGCGGAACGCGGGCGCAGGGCCGGGTCCGGGCGGCGCAGGCTGCGCGCCGCGCTGCGCACATGCGCGCTCCCGCCCCTCCCACCTTTGACAGTTTTACTGTGGGGGAGGGAGGGGGCGAACTCTCGCGGTATTCCTGCCACTGCTCCGCAGCGGGGAGGGGGCGGGCCCGGGGGCCGGGGCCCGGGGGCGGGGGGCCGCCGGCTGCTCTAGGTTCTGCCCGGCTCTAGGGCCAGTCTGATCTTCGAGACCAGGGCTCTGGCGCGTAGTGGTCAACAAGTCATGTGTCCATAGGGCCGGAGGTGTTTTGCGGACCGTGAGGTAAACTGAGGCACGATAAGGGTATTGGGCACAGCCTCAAGCCGGATGCCTTCACCTTGAGATCGGATGGCTTCTGCCTGGAGGACTTGGGGATGGTGGAGAGTCGAGGCCGTCGTGCTCAGGACCCTCACTTGACCCTTTTAGGGGCCTTGGCAGAGGCGCTGGGGAAATGACCCAGCCCTGGGCGCTGGCCTTGGCTCCGACCGCCTTGGCCACCATCAGAAATGGCTTAGCTTTACTGGGGGTCACTACTAAACAATCTGTCAGTCCTTTACACCCTTTGCCTCAGACTAGTGCTGTGTGTTAGGGACAGGAGATAAACCTCCGACCCGGGTAGCTCCCCTTGGAGCACCTGCTCATTGAACCCACCTGGAAAGAGGACCTATAACCAGGAGGTAGGGCAGATAGGAGACTTTAGGTTGTCATATGACAACAATACGATTGATGTTTAAAAAAGCAAAATTTTGTGTGATGAATTAATTGTATTACCCAAAAATTCATCCACCTGGGGAGGTCTGTCAACCTGGGGAGGACTCTCAGTGGTTTGGCACTTAGGTAATGATGTAATCATCCCACACTGTGATTAGGCCAATCAGTTGTAAGAAAGGATATTGTTGTTAAGTACCATCAAGTTGTAGGCGACTCATAGCAACCCTATAAATGAAAGACCTGAACACTTGTGTAACTTTGATCATTTCTCCAAGTTCATAGGGTTTCTGGAGGCAAGCTATTTCAGAAGTGGATGACACTCCTACTTCCAACCTTGTTTTAATCAGGAAGCTCCACCAAACACTGTCCACCATGGGTAACCACTATCACATTTGACACATCAGTGCCACAGTGTTCAGCATCACAGCAGCCACAAATTACTTCCGGTAAGGATGTTAGGGTCAAGTTTTTCATAGGTTTTTCAGGATCAGTTCCCATTCAACGTACAACAGAGCAGTCCACATCATTCCCACAATCGCTGCTTTGTTTGAGCCCATTGTTGTAGTCAGTGTTAATCCATCTTATTATTAAGTCTTTTTCCCAAATGTGAAGTCCTACTATAGGAACTGGTTCCTCTTTATAGGATGTCCAACCTATGTAAGACAGTCACACTGTCCTTCCTTCAAAGGAGCATTCTAGAGACACTTCGTTCAAGATAGGTTTGTTTATTCTTTTGGCAGCCCATGTTATCGTCAATATTGTTCACCAACACCATTATTCAAAGGCATCAGTTCTTTGGTCTTCTTTATTCATTGTCCAGCTTCTGCTAATTGAAAATATCATGGCTTGGGCCAGGCAAACTTTAATCCTCAAAGTACCATCTTTGCGTTTTAACGCCTCATAGAGAGATTGCACAGCCGATTGGCCAGTAATAATGCCTTGTTTGATTTCTTGACTGTTGCTTCCATGGGCATTAATTGTGGGTCAAAGTAAAATTAATTCCTTGACAACTTCAGTCCTTTCTCTGTTTAACATGATATTGCTCATTGGTCCAATTGTGAGAAGTTTTGTTTTCTTTATGATGAAGTGAAATCTGTACTGAAGACTTTGATCTTTATCAGTATTCAAGTCCTTATCACTTTCAGTAGGCAAGCATGGGTCATCTGCGTATCACAGGTTGTTAATAATTAAGTCTTGTTCTAATCTTGAGTACATGTTCTTCCTCATATAGTCCAGCTTCTCAGATTATTTGCTCAGTATGCAGATCAAATAAGTATGATAAAGGTGCCATCACTGACATGCATATTTCTTGATTTTAAATTGTGACCTTTCCCCCTGTTCTGTTACATGATTGTGTCTTCAGATTCCATATGAGCACAGTTATGTTATGATGTTGTTACTTACCATGGGTCAGAACCAACTCGTAGATGCCAGCAGGTTTTTAAGAGGCAGCAAATCACTTGGGTGGAGATTACCTGTCTTTCTCTCATGAAGCAGCTCGTGGATTCGAACCTTGGGCTTTGGGTTGGCAACATAACTCCTTATCACTAGGCTACCAGAGCTCCATAATTAAGTGCTGCAGAATTCCGACACTCAGAATTTATGATCCACACAGCTGAGTGTCTTTGCACAGTCCATAAAACATAGGTAACCAGCAACCAGGGAATTAAAAGATTAATTGCATTGGGAAAGTTTGCTGTCAAGACCTCTCCAAAGTACTGAAGCAACAATGTCAATCTGGAGACTAAGGTGCACCTAATATGGGCCATGGTCTTAGCAATTACTTGCTATGCATCAAAGAGCTGGACAATGACTAGAAATGATAGAAGGAGAGTTGATGCCTGTGAGCTGTGGTGCAGGAAGAGAGTGTTGAATATACATACCATGGACTGCTAGGAGAACAAAAGTTTGTCCTGGAGAGGGTGAAGCCAGGCTGGTCCTTGGAGGCAAGGATTCTGAAGCTTCATCTGACATGCTTTTGGACATGTTGCAAGGCAGGATCAGTCCTTGGAGAGGGATGTCATGCTTCGGAGGGTGGAGGGACGGCGCAGGAGTGGATAGAGCAGAGTTTATGGCTGTTGTACTTGGGGTAGCTATGGTCATCGACAACTCGATCACACATAACAACAACATCATCAATCAAGTAATTGTATAATTGTTCTCTTTTACTGACAAAACTGGTTTATTACAAATTTTTACTTTAGGTGAGCTCTGGTGGTCTAGTGGCAAGAAGCTGCACTGCAATCCCAGAGATGTGAGGTTCGAATCCACCAGATGCTCTGCTGAAAAAGGAGGGACAATCTCCTCCTATATTAGTCAGATCTGATTTGACAGTACACACGTTAAAAAAAATAAAAAATAATAAAAAGAATTTTACTTTAGGAGCTAAAAAAAACCCCAAAAATCCCATAGGCAAACATCTTGGTTTTGCCTGCTTTCAGGCAAGATCCATCTGATATCGACAGTGATTTCCCCCATTCTATGTCCTCTTTTGAATCTAGTTTGATTTTTTTAAAAAATTTTATTATTTTACGTGTACCGTCAAATCAGATCTGACTGGTACAGGAGGAGATTGCCCCCTCCTTCTCCAGCAGAGCATCTGGTGGATTTGAACCACTTACCTCTGGGATTGCAGTGCAGCGTCTTGCCACTAGGCCACCAGAGCTCCCTTTGATTTTCTAACAGGTCTTTTGTCAACCATTTTTCAATTTTAAGGTGGGATGTACCACTCTTTCTTGAGTGACAGCATAGCAAGATGGGTTTCTCTAGGGGGATTGCATTAGGTTTTGTCTTACAAGAGATAAAAGGAGAAAAAAGTGAGCAGGGGAGAGACGCTAGTTCCACCAAGAGAGAAGAGCTGCAGCAGAATGCTTTGCATGGAGAACCTCCTAGACAAGGCGAAGACAGATGTCAGGACACATGAAGATCTCCAACAGATGCCAGACACACAGATGTTGAGAGGACACAAAGACCTCCCCTCAAACCGACAGAGATAAAGCATTCCACCAGAACTGGTATCTAGAATTTGGACTTGTGGCCCCCTTCGTCTCACATACTTTGGTCATGCTGTGAGCAGGTGCCAGTCTTTGGAAAAGTTATGCTTTGAAAAGTGGAGGATGAGCAAGAGAGAGAAAGAATCTCAGTGAGATGGATTCAAACAGTGACCCCAGCAATGACCTTTAGTGTGGTGGAGAAATTGCACCATCCTCCTCTCTTTTTTCTTTTATTATTTTGTGTGTGTGTGTACTGTCAAATCAGATCCAACTGGTTCAGGGGGAGATTGCTATCCTTCTCCAGCTGAGCGTCTGGTGGATTTGAAGCGCATGCATCCTCCTTTCTCAGAACCACTTTGGTGGATTAGGTAGTCTAAGCAGCATTTGGGTAACTGCATCTTTCTAAGGAGCATCATGAGGATGGCGCCGAATAGGGCGAAGTTTTGATTTGCTGTTCCAGCAGCAACAAGATCTGTGAGAGTAAGTCTCTGGGTTTTGTAGCCATCTCCTTAATGTTATTTCTATTACTGAAGCATACCTAATTAAGAAAATATGCCTTTTTATAAAAATGTGACATCTATTACTTGGACATTTATAATTTAGTTTCATTGTTTAAAAATGTCCTTTTTGCATCCCATAGGCATTTGCCTTCCATGAAGCGGTAGGCCTTGTTTACTGATTGACGGAAGAGGTGCACTTGCTTCCCTGCAGTCCCGCAGCCCCCACCCCCGCCCACCTGTCGCAGATGTGCACTTCAGAGGGCAGGCAGAAAAGATGGGAGGGGTGCATGCCCTCTTCCCACAGGGGTCCTGCGGACATGCTTTGTGAGCCATGCAGCCCTCAGGCCCAAGCAGACTGGAGGGGTAGAGGTGGGGAGGGGACAGGATCAGTGCTTAGAAGCCTGGGGTAGAGGTGGGGAGAGATAGGCCAGCATGTTCAGACCTGTGCTCAAGAACAAGGCCAGTGTGTGTGTCAACTCTCATGTCTGTGCATGTGGCATGTTCTGACATCAGTGTCTGTGGTGGGTACATGTGCCCATCACTGGTCAATGTGTGCCTATCTCAGTGTGTGTCAGCATTGTTCATGTTCAGATATCTACTAGTATCCAGGTAGCTGGCAGAGGCCAGAGGCCAGAACATGTGTGTGGTGCTGGTGGTGGGGGTGTGTTGGCTATCTGTGTGTAAATATTGGCAAGTTTGAGTGACCTTCTCTGTTTGTGGAGTATTGGCACAGTTCTGTTTGGTGTTTGGGTGACTATGTCTGTGTTTGTAGGTGGGGTATGTGTGTGCGCGCGTGTGTGTGTAGGGGTGCTGTGTAGGCCTGGCTCCCAGTATCAAGGGCTCTCTGTAAGAACGCTGTGTCCAAACTGGGGTGTCCAATCCTGCTCAGCACCATTTGTGTGGAGTTTGCTTGCTGTGTGTCTGGGTAAGTGAGTTTTTGGAAAAAGGTACTCATCCCATGGGCCTTCAATCCAAGGCCTGTGTCCTTGGGAGTCAGGACTGGGGACAGGTCACACAGGAGAAGCATGAGAGGTGGTGGGTGGGGGATACACCCAAGGCTTTAGGAGCGAGAAGAGCCTGGGGGACCCCAAGTTGCCTCAGGAGTTGGAGGGAATAAACTGTCATATTTCAGGGACCAGTTTTGTGGTTATTTGTGGCAGCACCAGGGAATGTTTGCTCAGGTCCAGATTACTGGTCCTCAGACTTTCACAGATCCATCGTTGGGTCCACCTCAGGCCAACACAGTATTGCTGCTCTCTAGGGGACACAGCTAGAGGCAATCAGCCCCCTCCAGATGCCACACATGCAGCTAATGAGAACGAGTTTATTTCTGTTCTCGTCAGAATATAAAAAAAGTGAGCACAGAACAAGGGAACTGAGATAGAGGCATCTAGAAGACACGACAGAGCAAGGAGAAGGGGCAAGGACAGAGGCATGAGGGGCAGGGAGACGAGGGAGAGGGAAGCAGAAGGGCCCTGGGTCAGATTGGGGAGTGCAGGACAGAAAAGGGAGGAGGCAGGGATGGAGGGAAACACAGACAGGAGGGCGATGGAGATAGGAGGGGGATGGAGCGAATAGGGTCCCAGGACAGAGAATGGGGCTCACATGGAAGAGACATGGTGGGGTAGGGACAGCCAGGGCCTGGATGCCCAGCCTCACATCCCAAGGCCAGCTCAGGGCACACAGGAGGAGGCTAAAGGCTTGGCCACATTGGTCTCATTGTCCCTGAGATTTTCAGAGTCCCCAAAGGGCATGGGAGAAGGCAGGGGAGCAGGGGTCCCCTGGCTCTCCCCCTGTCAGGCAACACCTGCCCCAAACTGCCAGATTCTGGCTAGTTCCCAGGATGGTGTGGACTTCTGTAGGAACCCAGGCTTCCTGGGAAGAGTTGGAGAGTGCCCACACTTAGGTAGATGGGGAGTGGAGATGCTTGGCAGCCAAGGCCAGAAGGTGAGACCCTGGTAGCTGTGTGTGGAGCAGGGTGGCCCATGGCTCTGGGGGCAGTTTGGTAGAGGTCTAGGCACTCCCTAGAGCTAGGGCCTCATGTTCTGCCTATTGAGTGGGGTGGGGGGGCTTCCCCTAGGACTGAAGGGCAGCTGGCTGGGAGCCAGCCCAGCTGGGTGTGGATGGGACTGGACAAAAGGGGCAGTGACAGTCTTCATTGAGGGCCCAGGGCTGGTAGGGGGCAAACAGACAGACCTCATCTCTGGGGGAGGTTGGGGACCCTCCAGGATGGGGCTTTACAGGCAGGGGGAGAGTCATCACAGGGTGAAGAGCATAAATAGAGAGCTTCCTGAAGAGCCTATTGTGGCTCCCAGTACTCCCAGCACCTGGGCCTGGGCACTGTGGAGGTCTGCACAAGGACCTATGGTTCTGAGTGCCTGGCTCAGGTGCCTGGGGTGGTGATCCTGGTCCAGCCTGAACATGGAGGCCTCCTCAGGGTCCAGAGTGTAGCAAGGTCTGCCTCATCCTCATGGGGGTCCAGTCACAGTGCTGGGGTCTGGGGTCCAGCCTTGGCAGCAGCTAGGACACACTTCTAAAGGAGGCTTGTGGGGTGGGAAGGAGTGAATAAGAAATGGGGGGACACAAAAGGGCCCTACTATTACCTGGTGGGCCCCTAGAGCCTGGATCATCCCCCCACTTCACACCTTCCCCTCTCCTTGCTGTGGTTATGCCCCCCCACCTCACACCCTTCCCCCCACTGTAGTTCTGCTGGCCCCTACACCAACCTTGACTGAGCAGCTGCAGGCTCCGCCCTTCCTCTCGCACCTGCAGACGAAGCACCTGCTGCAGAACCTCCTGTCTCTGTGCCTCCTGGGCCAGCCCCATCCTCTGCAGCTTCTCTGCATTCAATCTCAGCAAAGCCCGGCCTGGGTTCCCAGAACAGAAAAGAGAGAGATACATGACAGAGAGTTGGAGAGGTGAAAGCAAAAATGAGTGAGGGATGGATGGAGATTGTGTGTGTGTGTTCGTTCACACATACATACACACACCAGGGAGCTCTGGTGGCTTAGTGGTAAGGTGTGGCACTGCCAATCCAAAGGTACAGTTTGACACCACCAGCTACTCCATGGGAAAAAGACATTCAACTCCCGTGTCATTTACTGTCTCTGAAAACCCACTAAAGGGTCAGCTCTGAGTCAGTTCTGACTTGACGGTACATGACAGTAGACACTTCTTTTTTGTAAAAATCTATATTTCTATATGGAAATAGATATAGGGAGTTGCGCTGCCCCAGTCCTCGGTGAGTCACTGCTAACTGCTCCTTCTCTCACCTCATCCTTCCCAGACTGCTGAGGGATCAGCTGTGAGTGCATCTGACTATATGGTAGGAGTGTCATATACGTGTGCATTTATACATATCTATGTTGTTATGTGCCATGGGGCTGGAACTGACTCTTAACAGACCCTCTATCAGGTTTCCAGAGTCTGTAAATTACACAGGAGTTTGTCCATCATTCTTCCATGGAACAGCTAATGGATTGTAACTTCTTGTCTTTGGGTTGGCAGTGCAACTCCTTACTACTAGGCCACCAGAGAACATAAAGCAGAAACTCAGAGGGACAGAGTGAGATATGAGGACCGAGGGAGGGATAAGGATGCAAAGAGAAATGGATACAGGACAAAGTGGCCACATAGAGACAGAAACAGAGACCGAGCAAGCAGAGAGGGGCTGCAGACACAGGCTCGGGGGAGGCCATCGGGGGGTATCACGCTGAGGGGAGCCAGCTCGGCTGAGTGTGGAGGAGGCTGTCCTGGGCTCCCTGGGAGTATCTCTACTGACCTCTCCCCACTGAGCCTTCCCCCACTGACCATCCCTGCTGCTCTCCCGAGTCCCCTGCTGAGCCTTTCCATCCCTGACATTCTCTTCGCAGCCTCCTAAATGACACCTAGAACTGCTGACCCTTTTCCCACTGACTTGGTGCATGGTGCTAAGTCCTCTGATGACCCTCCCTGATGGCCCTTGGCTGAGCACCCTCCCCACTGATTACCGGTGATGGCGTGCTGTGAGAAGGCCTCCACATAGACGAGGTAGTTGTGGGGACAGTGCTTCTTGAGCCACTTGCAGACATCCTGCTGGCTCCACAGGACCACGGGCCGTGTCAGGCCACCCAGAGAGGGGCTCGTGTGGTACAGGCCACAGTGGTCCGAGTACAGCCGGCCCTGTGGGGGGCAGGCAATGTTGAGAGGGTGGGACAGGGAGGCTGGGGCTAGAGGACAGGCAGGCATACCTGAGGGGGCTCTGAGCCTGGTTGCTGCAAGAGCTTGACCGGCCTCCCACTGGCTGCCCTCTGGCTGCGGGAGTCATGCCACGTGAAACTGGAGCCTGGTGTCCGGGGTAGATGGCAAGGGATGCTCTCAGCTGACACAGTGTGCTCCAGAGGAGTCTGGCAGAAGCTGAAATGGGCCGTGGCTGGAGATGGGGTCAGCAAGCAGTCAGGGACAAGGTTTCTGCTTTACCCCCAAGAGCCAGCTCCTGGCCCAGCCCTTTACTCTTTCAGGCATGGGTTTCCAAATCCCTTAGGCTAAAGGATGATGGCTAGAAGCTCAAGGGTCCCCAGCAGGCCAAAGACAAGAAGCTGGTGGCATCTTCCCTGGGCCTCACTGGGGGCCGGCAGTAGTTCAGACCTTGCTGCTGGGGTAGTAGGCTTCCCTCCAGACTAGGTTCATCCTGGGTAGTCACCACGACCTCACAATCCCCACTAGGTATGCGGCTCAGGGTAACACGGGGCTATGTGTGGGTTCGAAGAGGCTGGGCATACACTGGGGGGACTGGGTGTACACTAGGATAGCTGGACATACACAGAAGGGCTAGACAAATACTGGGGACTGGGTGTACACTGGGGTGCTGATGTATACTGGGGGGGTTGGGCATACACAGAGGTGGGTGTGCACTGGAAGGTTGGGAATATACCGGAAAGGCTGGGCATACATGGAGAGGTGAATGTACACTGGGAGACGGTGTATACTGGAGGGGTTGGACATATACTGGGGACAATGGGTATACACTGAGGGGGCTGGACACTTATTGGGGAGCTGGGTGTACACTGAGGAGGCTGGGTGTACCTTCAGAGCTGGGTGTACACGAGGGGCTGGGCATACGTGCAGAGCTGGGTATATACTGGGGCGGGGGCTGGGCATACTTACAGAGCTGGACGTACACTGTGGGGGCTGGGCGTACAGGCAGAGTTGGATGTACACTGGTAGGGTTAGGCACAGACTTGAGGCTGTGTGTGCATATGAGCCTGCATATACAAGTGAGCCTGAAAGGGAGGCTGGTCCTAGTTGTCTGGAAAGCTCTCTCAGCAAGGCCCCACTGTAGTTGGCCAAGTGTGACTCACACACAGGAGTCTGAATCTGGGCAGGCCCCAAACATGTCCCAGGATTTCCTGCTGGGCTGGTTTGCATATTCCCCACTCCCAGGGCCCTCGACCAGACAGCACCAGGCCTTTTCCAGCTTACACAGATGCTCAGGTACATAACAGCCCCCGCTCAGGGGCAGTGATGCCCAGAAGGCTCTTCCACACCAACTGAGTGACACTTTCCTAGTTGCCCAATTACTTCTGGTACCATTACTGGCATGAACTTAGGAAGGACAGACACCTCCATGGGACTCTCCCACAGAGGTCCCTGTTCCCAGCAGGAGGCAGTATACAGGGGGTGCAGGATGAGGAGGGATGAGGTTCCACAGAGGGAGAGTTAGAGAGGGAGGGACAAAGGCTTGTCCCTGTTCAGCATCCAGCCCTGACTCTGCAGTGCAGCAGTAAGGGGCCAGGCATGAATGAGACCCTCCTACAGACACAGTGCCCCCACCCCGCAGGCCTCACCTAGGTGGTCTGATAATAAATAAACAACCATGCCCCTTGGCTACCCTCTCTTCTCCTTTAAGCTTCTTGCAATTTTCAAAGACTGGAGGATGCAGTTGACTAAAGTTGGGGTCCAGATCTTTATCTGCCCAGAGGAAAGAGACCTCCTGACATCAGCAGCAAAGGAGCCATGGTTGAAATGGAGACCTGCTGTGATGAGCCCTGAGGGGGTTGGAGAGTGGAAAGCCAATACTGGCAAAACTGAAAACTTTGTTGGACAATTGGAGAAGGGTGGGGGGAGAGAAGCCAGTATTGGCAGGACTGAGAACATCGATTCTGGAGGCTCCAGACTGGGGTACCTGCATGCACATTTTGGGAGCTGTCTTTAATGCATTCAGTTATTAATCTGGATTATAGTCATTCGTTTATAATCACTTCCCCCTCAAAAAAGAAAGTGGGGTCTATGGGCGCTCAGTGTAACCACCACCCCAGTGGGAAAGTCGTATCCCTCCCCACTTCCTTTATCCTCCACCTCCCCCCTACTTTCCTCTCACCCCTCCAGGAGAAACATTGGGATCTGGTTCCCCAGACCCTGCCCACCCCTGCTCCACCCTATAACGCACCTGCCCCGGCCCTGCCCATTTTCTGCTTGTGTTAGGGATAGAGAGGGGGCTATCGTCAGTCAGTTGGTCTGCCTGTCAGTGGGTCTGTCCCTTCCAGTCGATGTCGGAATTTACGAAGAAATAGGGCAGGGGGCCGAGCCAGGTGGTGGCCTCAGCCTGCTTTGGGGCTTGTTGTCTCGGAAGAGTTTCCTGCGCGCAAAAAAAAAAAAAAGGTGACCCCAGGGCGGCGCCAGCCGAAGACAGGAGCTTCGGGATGCCCTCGTTGAGAAAGAAGACCCCTAACCCTCCACATCTCAGGTCACTACACAGGACAAAGGACAGGAGACCCCCTACGGCCCGGCCGCGATCCCCGCCCGATCGCAGTTGCCTTCTACCTTCAGTTCCCGCCCGGCCAGCCGCGGCCCTGCTCACCGTCCACATCCCGGTGCTCCCCGAAGCCGGGGCGCATGGCCCCGGCGCGGGCTCGCGGGGGACTCAGCTTGGACCGCAGCTCCGTGAACATGAGTCCCCGCAGTCCCCGGCCCCGTGCACACGCCCCTCGCCCGGCGCAGGGCGGCCCCGCGGCCGCGGGAACGTGCGCCGCCGCCCCGCCCCTGCGCCGGTCCCCGCGGCTGCGACGGTCCCCGCGGCCCGCGAGTCTGCGCGGCGAGGCACCTGCCCGCCAAGCCCTCTGCGCTGAGCGCGCTCCGGGAACTGCGAGGTGTGGCGGCGCGCGCGCGGCTCTGCGTGTGCCGAGGGCTCCGCCGGGGATTGGGCCGGCCCAGCGCACCTGGCCACTACTCCAGCGGCGAGTGCCCCGTGCACCTGTCAGGGACGGGCGTCTGCAGGGGCCTTCGGATGGGGGGCGTGAGGACCTACCACCCCGATGTGTACGGAAGGCTTCTCCCGAGAGGCGAGCGGCCACGCCCCCTCGCCTGGCTCGCGGCCTGTCCGCCGGCGCTCTGCACCTGCCGCGCTGGAGACGCCGGCTCGGGCTGCTCTCGGAGCGCGGAGGCCCCGGCTCGGCTGTCACCAGGGCACAGGTCTGGGTGGGGGCCCTAAGTGAGAAGTGCGGCCGGGCTGGGCACTGGGAAATGTGCTCTCGTAAGCACAGCCCCCCCACGTCAGGACACACACGAGTGCCTCGGGGGCCGAGCCACGCTGATGACCATCCAGGAGCCATCACGACCCATACGTGGCCCTTTTCGTTCGTGTGAATCAGACTCCCCTGCACGACTTCGGGGTCGGGAGCTTCCGCCTTCACGCAGAGCCCTCGACAGAACCTTCAGGGACTGGCGGATGTGTCCACGGGGTGGGAAGTCGTGACCTGATGACCAGGCACAGGCTGCAGTGGGACTGAGGATTCTGGTGATTTGGACGTAAGGCAGCAGTGTGCACACAGTGCTCCATCACAACACAGCCCGCGCAGCCCTTCTCGACCTGCCAGGGTGCGGCGGGGTCAGCGGGGCTGGGGCCACACTCAGGTTTCTCCGGAGCACTCAGGAAGTGGAAAGGCTATCGGTTTGGTTTGGGAGGCCCGCAGCAATGTTCACGATGGTGGTGCCCCTTAACAATTCGGAGCGGCCAGAGAGTGCCCGCCTCGCCACACCGCCCTCCAGTGGCAGCCGGAAGCTGTTCCAGCTGAGTTTTGGGACTTCCGGCAGGGACAAGTGGTGGGCGGGACTTCTGCCGCATAAAGGGCTCTGCTTCCGGGGCATGCGTGACGTGAGCACGCGTCTTTCGCCGGCGCCCGGGACCCGGGAGGTTTGGCTGTATCGCTGCGACCGCGGCTTCGGTTCTTCCTCTCCGGGCCTGTGGCCTCACTGCCGCCATGAACAAGAAGAAGAAGCCGTTTCTGGGCATGCCCGCGCCTCTCGGTTACGTGCCGGGGCTGGGCCGCGGGTGAGACCTCGGGACGCGCCATTGGGAAGGAGGGCCGGGACAGGCATGGCGGGGGAGGGTCTTGTACCGACCATCCAGGGCAAAGGGCTCTTCCTTCTCGAGCCTCGGCTTGTCCGGCGGACCCTGGAGGAGCACTGGCCTCACATAGTGGAGGCAGCAGAGCCTAGGGCAGCTCGCTGCTGGCGACGAGAGAGACAAATGATGATAAAAGGAGTTTGGAAGACTCTGAACGGTTTAATGTAGACTCTGTAGGAGGCTGGCGAGCGAGTAGTATTCGAGTCCTTTTTTGGGTCTCTGGAGTGAGTGACAGCTAACGAGGTGTGACAAGCTGTGACCACAGGTGGACTGCTAATGAGCAGCGGGTCCCCAGACGGACTGGGCCCCGAGGTTGGTCAGGCCGCTTCTCTTGCTGGTTCTGCCTCGCCTCGTGGTCCAGCTGGGCTGTTAGGCTCCACTGTGTGGCCGCCTCTGTTTTTGTTGTTATGTGCCATCGAGACGCCTGAGACTCATAGCGGGCCTTTGTACAACAGCTCTAAACCCTGCTCTATCCTGTGCCAATCTTATTGTCTCCGACACACCTATCCCCATTACCCCAGTGACGGAATCAATCCATCTCATCGAAGGTCTTCCTCTGTGCTGTCCCTCTACCCTCCCAAGCATGACGTCCTTCTCCAAGGACTGATTCCCACCTTGCAACACGTCCATAGAGCTTCAGAATCCTTGCCTCCAAGGAACAGCCTGGCTTCACCCTCTCCAGGACAAACCTGTTTGTTTTCTTAGCAGTCCGTGGTATATTCAATACTCTTCTCCAGACTGACGTCTCTGACAGCAGGCTTTCCCAATGCTCCATTTCCTCCCCCCTCCTGATTTTTTCCCCTCATCAGCAGCTTGTCCAGGCTGGGCTCTGGGAGCCCTTCTCCATGCTTGCAGCCTGTACTGACCTCACTGTTACTAACTGAGCAGTCATCCTAGTTGGTTATTCCCTTGATGTGGAGAACTGTTGTGTTTTTCTCATTGTGGGCACGGAATCAGAGTTGGCAGGGGGTGAACAGCCTCATGAATTGGGACAGAGAGACAGATCCAGGGTTCATGAGGTCTGGAAGCCTTCTGAGGCATGGTAGTCTTCATTTCAGGCTTCGGAAGAAGGTCAGGTGTAGAGAAACAGAACCATGTCAGGGGTGGAGACGGCCTCTCTGCCTGTGCCTTATAAACAGAGGACAGGTTTGGGAGGCAGCAGAATGGAAGAGAACCCTAGAAGTAGATGTGCAGTACATAGAGGGAAGGTGCAGGGGCAGGTGGCCTTGCTCAACAGACCAGGACTTGTTCTGTACCCGAGAGAGAGAGTGATGTGTCAGCATTCCAACTCGGGATTGAAATAGGAGAGCAGAGGAACGCTGCAGGCCATATGATGCCCAAGCATGAGAAGGTCTGTGAGGTGTGGGGAGGAAAGTTTTCCGATGTTCAGTCAGAAGGATGGAAGAGATCGAAAAATGCAGAGAAGCTGCTGTGCGCTGCTGTCAGCCAAGCAGGGAGCAGCCCCCAGGGTTGGAAGAAGCCAGGGTTTTTTTGTTGTAGTTGTTGTGTTGTGACCGTAAGTTTATTTACCTTAGTTTTCAAAGTAGTATACACACATTTACACATGAAGTACCTGGCTCAATGCCAGGCTCATAATCGAGAATAAGGTGGTAACTCTGGCACAGGGATTATAGATAGCAAGGGGACATCCTAATTCTTTAGAAGGTGTCAGGCTTGGGCCTTCAGTGGGTTTTGAGATTACTCTTATCAATTCAGGGAGTTCTGGCACTGGTTCGAATCCACCAGGTGCTCTTTAGGAATAAGATGGGCCATTTTCTTTCCTGCAATTTACTGCCTCTGCAAACCCCCTGGAGGATCAGCCATGGGTCAGTTCTGACTGGACAGCACATAACATTACCAATTTAGATTCTAGGAAAATGAGAGCCCTGTGTAATTGTTGTGCAGTGGAGTCGGAACCCACCCCACAGCTGACCCTCCATCATATGGGAGGAGGTTACCCACTTGGCCATCAGAGTGCCCTCTGGAGAGCCCTGTAAAACTCTTGAAATATTAACATTTTCAGAGATGCCTGTTGGATGAGGATGCTCACAAAGTCCCTGTCCCGAGCAGTGGGCACTGAAAAGAATTGGACAACTTTGTATTCCAGGCAAAAGCTTTAGCATCAGCTTCCCAATGCTGTAAGCTACTACTGAGTTAGAACCGCCCCAGAACTGACCCTTCCCAAAGAGTTTCATCTGTCTGTCCATGGACTCCTCTGAAACAAGAGGAAGGAACAACTCTATAGCAGGTGGAAGAGTACAGGGCCTGCCGCTGGAATGCATGGGGCCTCCACTCATCAGGGTGCTTGCGCCTGGGCGAAGGTGCAGCCTGCCAGACACTGCCACTTTGTTAGTGAAGGGGTGCCCGTGTGGAAGGGCTTGTGGATGCGGATCACATCGCGGCCCAGCTGGTCCGCCAGCTTCTACACCAACGTCACGATCTCTCCTCATGCACAACCCCGTTAAGGTATTCCGCCACCACTCTAGGAATGTTGCACGGCTTTGCCTTCATGTATATGACGACCCCTGGGTTCCGGCGGGTGAAGTCGGTCACCTCCCGTTCTATCAACTCCCTGGCACCGCGGGATGAGGGCGCGTCGTGGCTAAGGCTAAAGCTGAGATGCTGAAGCTGCTGCATGTAGCGACCCAGGCCATTGTGGAGGACACTGGTCAAGAAGCAGCAAGCAGTGCCATGCGCAGTCATGGCTATAGCTCGGTTGCCACACAACAGGGTGGCAGGGGAGAAGGCGGCAAGGGGAGAGGGTGGGCCAAGAAACCAAGTTTGAGGGACTGGTTGGAGCGAAGATGGAAATAAGTGGCAGCTGGTGGAAATGTGAGACTGGAGCTTGGGAGGAAGTGTCCTTCAGAGCTCATGAGGTAGGTTGGACCACACCAGTGTTGCTTAACTCACTACCACAGGGTATTTTGGAGGTTTCTCTGCTGTTACAAAACGGATTTATCAAGTGATGGCAGAACACAGGAACAAGGACACCATGATGTGGTAGATCGCATCTACATGTGTCTCTTGGTCTCCTGCAGTGCCACTGGCTTCACCACTCGGTCAGATATTGGGCCAGCTCGAGATGCAAACGACCCTGTGGATGACCGCCATGCTCCTCCAGGCAAGCGGACCGTCGGGGACCAGATGAAGAAAAACCAGGCTGCGGACGATGATGATGAGGACCTGAATGACACCAACTACGACGAGGTGATCCTTGGCGCCCTCACGGGCTTGCTGCTCAGCCAAGATGGCTGCCTGGCTTCTTGACCAGATGCTGTGGTGTCTGTGATGTGGGGCCTGGGTGCTTCTCTGCAGAAGAGCCACCTTTGTAGGAGTCACAGGTGTTGGTAGGGACCGGAACTCGAGTGGCATCAGGGGTGGCACTTGATGATTTGCATCTGCGCTCACCTCGTAGCTGGCTTAGTGCCATCCTTTAGTGACTTAAGTTTTTCTTCCATTGTGTTGTTGGAACAGTTCCAGTGCTTCAGTGAGAAGAAAGTGGGTTTTTTGTTTTTTAAGGAAGTGGCTTTTTAACGATTAATCTTGAAATAACTTTAAATTTTCAGGAAACTTAGGGGAGGAAAAACCCCAAACCAAAGCCACATAGGATTCTTGCATGTCTTTTTCTCCTGATATTGGTTATTAAGATATTATATACCTCACTGCAGTTCCCGAAACTACTGAGTTTGTGTGGACACAATTCACCCCTCCTCAGTTATTGACATGCTTAAATTTCCAAATTATGTCACTTGTGGAAGTCATTGTTATGCCAGAGTGGAGGACAACTGCATCATTGTGTAACTGCCAAACCACTGATCACAAGTAGCCCTGACCATTTCACTTCACTCCTCAGCATTGAGTACCACCTGGCATGTCACATTAATGCCCAGGATAATGGGGTGGTAATTTTGAATGCCCCATGGTGAGAGAGTCGGCGAGTGAGGAGCAGGTGTCCTTCCCGTCATCTTTAGAGCCATCTTTCTACATGGTTTGGAAGAATGTCTTTTTTTTTTTTTTTTTTGTCGAGCCACACTTAGTCTTTTTCAGAGGGCATCTGAGCTTTGGCATGTGACCGAGTCTTCTGGCTATTTTGTAACGTATTGATTGGCTCTTTTGTTAAATTTGAATTTACCTGAGAAAGCTTGTTAGGCCAGCTTTTCTGGGTGGAGATGCTGTTTCTGCTGGTGAATTTGTACTGAAGCAAAAACTGATGGAGAATACCACTTTGTTCTTAGTTTAACGGCTATGCCGGGAGCCTCTTCTCAAGTGGACCCTATGAAAAAGATGATGAGGAAGCAGATGCCATTTATGCGGCTCTGGATAAGAGGATGGATGAAAGAAGAAAGGAGAGAAGGTAAAATAAGTTACTGCGTGCACAGCTGTGTCTAGTTATCTTCTTAGCGGGTATTGCCTTTGTCCTTAATTTCAGAGTAGAGGAGGTGTGTGTGGAGCTGTTCATTCACCTGGGTCTTAGTCTGCAGCTCTGGGTGAATGGCCAGCTGCTGGGCCCAGGACTGGAGTGGACACCTTCAGAATTCTGAGCCTGGCTTTCCAGGATAGTTAGAATTCTGGATAGGTTGTCATTATCTTTGGAATGGGCACAGTGCTGTGGAGTGATGTTTAGGATGTAATCTGGAGATAAGAGGCACATGGTGTCAAGTCTCAGAGCAGATGAGTGTGTGGTGTTAAGGCTCCGCTGGAGGAGCCCTCTCCCAGGGGTCCTCAGGGTTCCACAGAACATGGGGCTGCTCCCAACAGAGGCTTTGCATTCTTCTCCCAATGCATACGCACCTTGTTTCCCAGGGAGCAAAGGGAGAAGGAGGAGATCGAGAAATACCGAATGGAACGCCCCAAAATCCAGCAACAGTTCTCAGATCTGAAGGTGAGCAGGTAGAAGACTCTCCAAGGCAGATCACCAGCCTGCCGAGAAAGCAGATTTAGTCCAGAAGTGACCCAGCTTGACACACCTTGCTCTTTATTTAAGTCATAGAGTAACGTGAGAGAAGGTGGGCCAAGCTACCCCTTTTCTCTGTTGTTTTCATTCTACTTGTACTTATGGCTTCTTAAGCCAAGTCCTGTCTACTTTGAAAGAATGACTATTCCATAAAGTAGAGCTGACCTAGGGAGCTGACTGGTTTTTTTTTTCAGTGATGTAGAAAGCTATTTCTGTAACAAACTCCTTTCCAAGGCTTGATGATTTTGGGCCTGGGGAGGGAGAGGCTAGTCCTTCCTGTACACAGGGCAATTTACCAGAGAGATAATGTCCTTTCTGGGCACTGTCCTTAGCGGAAACTGGCTGAAGTCACAGAAGAAGAGTGGCTGAGCATCCCAGAGGTGGGGGACGCCCGGAACAAGCGTCAGCGGAACCCACGCTATGAAAAGCTGACCCCTGTGCCTGACAGCTTCTTTGCCAAGCATCTGCAGACTGGCGAGAATCACACATCGGTGGACCCCCGGCAGACTGTAAGCCTCTGCCAGAAGGGACGTGGACTCCAGGGGGTGGCATGCTGGGCTTGAGTCTGAGCATCTGCGCTCAGCGGCTATGCAGTGGGAATCTAATCTATCTACACACACAATCAGCTCGTGCTGTGGTCTCGGGGCGAGTGGGCTTGTCCACAGGCAATGCACTCAGCCTTTTACTCATGTCTCCCCAGCAATTTGGTGGTCTTAATACACCCTACCCTGGTGGATTGAACACCCCGTACCCTGGAGGGATGACACCAGGGTTGATGACTCCAGGTACAGGTGAGCTGGACATGAGGAAGATTGGCCAGGCAAGGAACACGCTGATGGACATGAGGCTGAGCCAGGTGGGTCTTCTGACCAACTGTGAACAGAATCTGATGAAGTTGTAAATGAGAATCCTCCTTAATCCTGCTGCCAGAGAGAACCATTATGTTCACCTGACAAATTACTTCTCAGCACTCTGTCAATAGATCTATCCCATGCTGTTCTTCTTTGGATTTCCTAACTGCTACAAAGTATTTTGAAGAGTTGCTAATGAAATGACTAACAGTGGCTCACATATAGTGATGGGGAAGGGCAGGATTCAGATCCTTGTTCACAGTCCTAGTCAACTCAGTGATACCCAACAATGATAACCATGAAGTGATGAAGTTCATCACTAAAAGAAATAGACACAACCAAGGTACAAAG